AAGGAAAGATGGCTTGGGTTGGTTGAGAGGAGCATATAGGTAGAGAGGGAGAGAGAGAGAGAGAGAGAGAGAGAGAGAGAGAGAGAGAGAGAGAGAGAGAGAGAAAGATCTAAGAGAGTACCAGAAAAGAAAGGACGAAGAAATTCATCTGCCATCTTTCATATTCGCGTTATATTTGCCTTATAGCCTTTCTCGATAAGAAATACACACACACACACACATACTCATGCACACATACATAGGTACACGCACACGCACATGATTCGAATCGTTGCCAATAGAAAAGAAACGTTAGTGGCAACGAGAAGATGTCATCGATCGTATCGAAATACTATAACTCGTTTTCTCTTTCAAGAAGAAATGTCGTTTCTCTTTCTTCTTTTCATTCTTCGTTTCGATACTTCGACGACAACGACGACGACGACGACGACGACGACAACGACGACGACAACGACGACGACGATGATGACGATTTTAACACATATTACGGAGAAGAAAAACGATGGCTTTGTGCATGACCCTCTCTCGTTTATTACCGTACAACAATGTAATAACGATAAAAACGAAATGATCATTTTCTTTACAACGTTTTTTTTACAACGATTTACCACCACCACCACTACTACTACTACTACTACTACTACTACTACTACTAATACTAGTGTATATAAAAGTCCTTACTATTACTACTAGTACTATATATAAGTCCGATCGTTCGGATCGGATAAATTCGAAATTTATTAATGCTTCATAAATATTCGTCAAATTCGATTCAATTTGATCTCACTTCGTTTGACATTTACTCTATCGTAAAATGATTCACTTCTCCTCCTACCTTTTCTTTTTTTCGGATTTGATCCTTTGTCTTCTTTATTCAAAAATCTCTTTATGAATGTAACCTCAGAGAAACAAAGGGCTTTCAAATCTTTTTCTACGAGAAGGGATAAAAAAAAAAAAAAAATAAAAAAAATAAAAAAAAGAAGGTTAATCCTCCGTATGAAATTTCTTGTTGAATGTTTCGAGAGAGAGAGAGAGAGAGACAGAGAGAAAAAGACAAAAACTTTTACAAACTACTCAAGGAGATAATCCTTCTTGAAGAAAATCCCGTAAAACACGATAATCTCGTATATTATTATCGAGAAAATTGTTTAGTTATTCACGCTATCGTAATTGTTATTGTTAAATACATTTAATTATCTACGTATTATTATTCACATAATTCATATACAATTCGGTATCAGTATTATTTCTCAATTAAATATCTACGCGTATAGCTGATCAAACAGCAAACCACTGTGACCAAAAAGCATACTCGTATAGTAATATATCTCTCTAACTGTATTATCGATTAACAAGTATAATCTATATATATTTTATTCTCGCTTAAATATTTCTCATTGTTAGTCGATTATATATATATATATATATATATATATATGTTCTCAATTATATTTATATTCGTTTAATCGTATTTCAATTTCTATATATGCCGTAATTAATATTTCGGAGTTTTACCTTTTTTCTTGCATACGACTAATAAGTAATATAATAAATGATCGAATATAAAAAAAGAAAAAAAAAAAAAACGAACATTATAACGTTGCCTTGAATGGCACAGTCACGAGGCAATGTCAAAACAAGATAATTAATTACTCCTATATTATCTTTATTACATTTTCGTATTTCATATTATTTCTTTTATTTAACATACCACCATTCATTATATTATTCATTTATATAAAATCACATCATCATACCTATTTGTTTCTTCTTGTTTATCATCGATATTTATTTTTATCTATCTACAAATACATACACACATGCACGCGCAGAGAGAAACAGAGGGGGAGGAGAGAGAGAGAGAGAAAGAGAGGAAGAAAGGATGACAGAGAGACATATATAGGTATGTCTATCCATTTTTGAAAGATTGATCATTTTATGAGAAATTCGGATAAAAAATAAAAAAATAAAAAAAGAGAAGGAGAGAAAGAAAAAAAAAAAAAAAAAAAAAAGAAAAACAAGCTAAGTATTCATTGATTATGTAAAATAGCAGAGACGAAATCACAAAAAAGAAAAAGAAAAAAAAAGGCAAATAAAATAAAAAGTCGTGAGGAGAGGAGAATAATACGAAATTTAGTTTAAAAGAAAGAGAGAAAGAGAGAAAGAGAGAGAGAGAGAGAGAAAAGAAAAGGAGTCCAAATAAAATACGAAAAAGATAAGTGAACGTTTTCGAAGTGAATTCCACTCGTGGGATACGTAAGAATAGAGGAAAGGCAAAATTTGATTTCGAATCGTTTTCAAGACGTAAGAAAACGCGATGAGAACGATAGATAGAAGGGAGTGGTTTCGTTTCTCCAACGAGAAAATATACGTTACAAATTCGACGGATTTCGCTTAGAGACTTTCAAGCATTTCTCTCCCGTACACCCTACTCCCTCCCGCTCGCTCATCTTCCACCTCTACCCCTAACATTCCACCACCTCTCCTCGCCACCATTCATCGCCACTCCCCCCACCCCCTCCCAATTTTCCCCTACCCTTTCTCGTTCTACATAAAACCTTAGAGAGGAAGAAAAAATATGCGCACGCGCGAGAGCGAACGCGAGAGCGAACGCGAACGAGACGGGGCTCTAATTTTCTACGTCAGCCGTCGGCCAACCACGAAAGAATGTCAGGGGTGGATGAGGAGGGTGGATCTTTTTTTATGTTTCCCTCCTCCCTTCCCTTCCCTTCCATCTCACCACCCGTCCACCCTCCTCCTCTTCCTTCTCCTCCTCCTCCTTTTCCTCTTCATTCTCCTCTCTCCCTGCCCCAATCCCAAGCATTTCATACTTTTTCTTTTTTCTCGATTCCCTCTCGAGAGTCCTATAACGTGAGACGCGTGGTACGCCCTCGTTTTCCAGCATTCGGTCAAAGAAGTATAATGAAACTGCAACGAAGTGTTTTTTCCCCCCTATTATTTTTTTTTCCTTTTTCTTCTTTTTTTTTTTTTTTTTTTTTTTTTTTTTTTTTTTTTTTTTTTTTTTTTTTTTTTTTTTTTTTTTTTATGAACAGAGAAAAAGAAAGAAAAGAAAATTAGAAGAAAGAGAGAAAGAAAGGAAGGAAGGAAGGAAGGAAGGAAGGAAGGAAGGAAGGAAAAATGGAAAAAAGTAGATCTTCTCGATGTTACCTCCTTTATCATGAGTCATTTTAAAGTTTTCTCGAACGTCAGCAGTTCTCGCGTTCGATCGCCTTCGGAAAGTAAATTTCGATGTAATTCCTATTAAAATGCGAACTTCCAAACATCGTCGAAGGGATGGAAGAGGTAGAAGAAAAAGAAGAAGAAAACGAAGAAGGCGAAGGCGAAGGCGAAGGCGAAGAAGAAGAAGAAGAAGAAGAAGGAAACGAAGAAGAAGAAGGCAAAGGCAAAGAAGAAGAAAACGAAGAAGAAGAGGAAGGCGAAGAAGAAGATGAGGAGAAGGGAGGAGGAGCAGGAGAAGGAGGAGGAGCAGGAGGAGAAGGAAGAAAAAGAAGAAAAAAAAAAAGATTTCGGTTTCGCGAGAACGAGCAAACACCGGAGGGAATTACGCTCACCGTTTGGTCGTATCGGATAATGAGATCCTATGGCATCATCCTTCGGGATTATGGGTAATGCATTGCCGCTGGCAACACGCTTAGATTCCACTCAGGAAACAGTAAAACTTACGTAAGAGAGTTTTCGAGCGGATGTCACTCTACTCTTCAAAGTCTTTTCCTTTATAAAGATTGTTATGTCATAAAGAAGAATCTTTATGGGTTCATTATACATTTATATACATATATATGTATACGTGTATGTGTATGTATAATATAAAAGTATATACATATATATACCTTTTAAATTTATATTATAAATATAAACATTTAAAAAATATATATACATATATATATTTCTACTTATATATATTATGTATACGTGTATGTGTAATAGAAAGCTTCGTTCGTTTATATATGGATCGTATTAAAAAGATCAATTCGTCAATACTAATGTTAAAATTAATTTGATTGTATCAATTTGACGAGAAAATTAATTATGTTGAATTTCATAAATTTTTCTTTCGTCTTTTCTTCTTCTTCTTTCTTCTTTTTTTTTTTTTTTTTTTTTTTTTCTTTTTTTTTGTTCGTTTCCTGAGCGTAACACCGAAGAAAATTTGTGTTCGCATCAGTACGTAAGAATTCTAAATTTGGTTACTATGTAAACTGAACATTTCAGATGGAACGATCAAGATTAATGTTCTTTCGCTTTCGAAATATTACACTCTCGCTTATCGAAAATCGATAATCGAACGGTAACGAAGAAGAAGATCTCACGTTTAGAACGAGAGGAAGCAGATAGAACGCGAGAATCACGCGAGAGCATTCATCTGCGAACGAATCAATCTCCGTGGAATCCTCGTCTTCCCCCCACTTCGTCCTCCCCCACCTCGTTCTCGTTCGTCCTACTAACCGAATTTCAAAAAAAGAAAAAAAAAAGAAAAAAAAATAAAAGAAGGGAGGGAGGGAATAGATTTTCATACTTCATTTCGGCCAATGAAAAAAAAAAAAAATAGACAGAGAGAGAGAGAGAGAGAGAGAGAAAGAAGGGGGAAAAAATCAAAAGTAGGAGGTATCGAAGTTGTACGAGTTTCGAACAACTTACGTAGTATTACTATAGCAAAAAGGAAAACTTCCCTCTTCCCTAATCTTCTTTAACTTATATTAGCTCGTTTATTAGTTATATATTACGACATCGTTATTTCGTTATAGTTTCCTTCTATTAATTATTTGAAACATGAAAGAGAAGAGAAGAGAAAAAGAAGAGAGAAAAAAAAAAAAAAAGATAGAAAAAGAAAAAGAAAAAGAAAAAGAAGAACTTTTATTGAGAGAAGGAAGAATCGATCATAAATTTTCTTCAAGCATTATACGATAACAGTGTAATAACTTAAATCAAGCAAAGATAAAAGAAAAAGAAAACTTAAAAATTTATCATATTATATTTCTTAC